ACAACAATAGGTTTTGTATTTTTGTCAGCGACCATATCAAATCTCGTAAATTCAGCCCTACAATTCACACTTTCTGACGGCCTAAACTATTCGCTAAAATTGAATGATTCGCAAAATCTGATTATCATATGCTTAAAAGCACCTATGATGCCTATTCAGTTAGCGGTCGAAAAGTCACTTCTTTTCTGTGTACACATGGAATATAATAGTCCATGTCTGTTTTACGGATAGAGTCATGAAGATAAGAAATATTGAACGAAACTATGTGACTAGTCTTTTGTATGAAGCTAAAACGACCCGGAACCCAGATCGCAAGGGATTTTTCGAAGAAGGTCCGGATTGGCATGGGCTTGAAAACAAGCTGATATAATTGTGGGTAAGCTCACCGGATCTTACATACAATTCATTGAACTCGTGTGAAGCTGGGTAGCACCGGTTTTGGCACTACATACTACCATGATGTTACAACATAAGGAGCTCGGGGTTAACTTATTGTTGGATATGCACCTTCGTGGCTCTCAAGAGAACGATCGAGGCAGCTGCGTGGGTCATAGCTTGTCACTCACAGCAAGCTTTTACTCTCAAAATGTCACATTCGAACAAAAAGAAGAAAATTGTACCCATCAGCGTCAGAACTGGTCAACTCTGAATCCATAATTGGTTGGCTATTACGCTGGCTAACTTGAATACTTGGGGTATCTTCAAAACATTAATTTGTGTTGACGGGTTCTCTTTAAATCTGGAGCTGTAAAAGACTGCAAAAAACAGCGAGATTTACTAACGATAACGACAAACGCTTATAGTGTTGCATGCAATATTCAAATTTCAGTGATGAGCGTACGATCGTTTGGTGGGCATCCTAACAATTGACAATCGTCTCTTATTTGACTGGTTACAATACTGATTACATTTTCTCATAATCAAAAGCAGTTGTCACAGTTAGAAGCCTTTTTGTTGGAATAGTTGGAGAACTGGTGGAACTGAACTAATGGAAACCAAATAACCAGTAAACTTTATTGATATTTTACAGAACTTCTACGAAAATCGTGGTGTGTAATCAGGCTCCAAGCACACAGCAGACGGTGAGTGAATCCCAGAATGTGCTGTGGATATTTTGCGGCTAACGCGCATACCGACAGAAGTCCTTTTTGACATGAGCTAATTAACATTCATCGAGGTCTAACAGAAAATGTTGACTAAAAGCAGGACCGTGAGTAACGATAAACATAAATTAGATGAAGACTGGGAAAAGCAAGCAAAAGTAGTCGATAAAACTGAGCGAATGTGCGCAACAGTGAATGAATCGCCATATACACAAATGACATTTGTCCGATTTAATTATGCATCTGTGGATCAAGTGTTCGAAATGCTTAACTCCCATTAGGAAATCTTAGGAAGCCCAAGTTAATCAGTGGTTTGTCGGAGAGTAATTTAGGCGAGAAAAACTAATTTCTCGAGACACACATTGGGTATCAAACTTGGTTGATCTCCATCGCTATGGTCACCAGTAATTCAGAAATGTAGATATAAGCACAGTACTAGAACTACGGAGAAAGTTTACAGTGCACGTCCCATATGACCAGACTAAATATAGATCCTAAATGCAGCATTACGCTAAAATAAAACAGACTCTTGAGGAGCTGAAACGAAGGCCGTACGCACTGGTGGCACGTCCACTTCGTCCAACTACTCGATAAAACACAGGCTTGTGCGCATTCATCTAAACAAAATTAGATATATTTATGCGTATGTTCATGCATACCATACAAAATATTGATAGGTAATACCACGGACGTAAACTCGGTAGAGTTATTAATGCTACCAAAACTAGTTTTTCGATTCATAATGGCAAAATGTATTGGGAATGGAAACCAACCAGCCTCCGCCATATTTGATGCGGACCTCTCGACTTATTCAAGCTTACCACAGTATGGCATTAAGGAAATTAAAAACGAATTGACAAGTTTCAAAAGTCCGTCGCCTCTGCCCAATGAAATAAAAACCCAAAGGCTTTCGAAACATCCCACGCACCCTTAGTCGTGCTTACAGCAGAGAGGTCAAACCTCAGATGGATTCTGGAAGTAGCCCAATTGATTTATCCGTAAAAGTGAGCTGTTAGCAATTAAAGATTACAGAAATGCTAATAGTTTTGGATGTACAAAGCACGATTAAATTATTGTAAAAGTCCGGAACATTACCAAGTTTAGCCTGTGATTTTGTCCCTAAGAAGGTGAACTGAGAGCATGACTTCAGGGGTATAAGCTACTCGTCAAGAGTCATCCGGGAGCCGAACAAATTAGCAGTCTAGCAGTCAGCTGTGAAAAATTCGAATACCGCACAAGTGATGCCGGTGGATACTGAATCAGTGCGGGATATTCACGTACCAAAATCGTCACTGTGCACAACATGAACACTGAAAACTTCCCATAAGGCTGACTTGTTTGTCGCAGCTCACTAAGACCATTATTCTTTAGCAAGCTTCTTAAGCCGAGAAGGATTAGGAAGCATTCCCATTTTCCCGAATGACCACATGGATTTCCGTAAAACAGGCGCACCTACGAGCACCATTTTTCAGTATATTAGATTTTGTTGGCTGCTGATGGTACGCTGGTGCCTGCTTCGGTGCGTTGAAATCTGAGGCACGTTGGGGTTACCAAATTGGTTGGTGCAAAACCTTCTACAGTAAATTGCGTGAGCCGAAAAATAATCTCAGATCAAACTTTTGTGTCGTAACTGGTCGCATAAGTCCATTAATAATAACTCTCTAGATCAGGTCATCTTGACAGTTAAGCAGGCCACCGTTTCAGGCATTTCGTGCTCTCGCAACTGCAGGACGGAGGAAAAACGAGGATGGTGGCTCTCACCTGTTGTTGCCGGAAGGTTTATTTAGGAATCTTGAGGCACAACGGTGAAGAAGCGTTATGCAGCTTCAGATGATTGATAGGAATCTAGAAATACTTGTGTAAAAGCAGATTTCTTACAAGCTCAAGAGACTTCAAGCACCGAACAGCTTGATAAAGTTACAACGGTTGACACGAGAACAGTCTAGGAGTTTCAGCATGGAGGAAGAAAACCTAGTAAAAGGTTGAAGGAAACGGAATAGGTGAGGACTTGCAGCAAACGTGCTGCTTCACTAGATATAATGGTGCACATCTCTCTAAAGCCCTTGATCGAGGTGCGCCCGAGCGTCCATTGAGTACAATTCACTACTGGCCGCATTGAGCCAATGTTTTCTGAGACAAGCTCAAGCCACACAAGCGCAAGTCAACCAGTCCTTCTGAGATGTGGCTAGTCCATTGGGAATAAGTAGAGTGAAGAATAATCACAAAATTCCAAAGCACTCCTCGTCAGCCAGATAAGCGTAAAGGAGTGAACCAATCCACGGAGTCAGAAACAGCTTTGAACTCAAGCGAAGTAAGGTATCGAGGATTCTGTGGTGATTCATTTGTTTTGTTTAAGAGGAAAGCGTTCAGCTAAGGCAGGGCATTCATGTTTTTTTTCGTTACTTTGACCAATAAACCGGTCTAAAGTACAGTCTAATAAATATCTGGGGTGCAACAAATAAGTATGACAGAACCAGCACGTTGCTTGTAAACTTCAATTTATCCTCCCATTCGGTCAACAAGGAAGCTCACTGGACCGTCTCGTTCAAATCTTGCTGTTGAGACAAGCTCATTATTTTTACAAAAAAGCCTTCTTTCCCAGGGTTTTAAGCTCGGATGTGATTCTGAATCCTAAAGATGTTGAATAGTATTTCCTCTCCGAAACTCTTCAGACTGTACTCATCAAACGATCGTTTTTTTCGCTGCAAAGATGAGTGGGTATTTAATTTGGATGCAATGTCCTCTGGCTGAAACCGCTTTGCATGTCTGTGATCCATGTGCCACTGTTTGCCATTCAGTTCCGCTTTGGAATTTGAGTCTACAGACAGACTACAAACTTTGATTCTCAGACCCACACAAATATGAGTATTCCTAAATCAACCGAATCTGCGGCTACCTGATAAGCCCCAAGAAAATCGAAACCGGTTGCGAGTTGTCGAAGGATTTTGGCAACTTTATGAGCATTGTATTACGTCACTATCATTGCTATTTTTTGCAAGAATTGATGGCTGGGAGTCGAATCGAATCCTTCGATCGACAACAATGGCGCAACTAAGAGCCTACACACAGCTGAACAGTAACAGAGGGTTTGATTTAGACTGTATTCGGCGCTGCATTCAACCATCTTGGAGGAAAGAGGGTGCATAGATAGACTTTTTTTCAGGATCCGTTCACCTACTTGATAATAGTTTGAGTGGATTATGGAATTTTAATACAGAATTCAGTCTACAAGAGAAGCCAGCCTATGCTACAAAGCAGAGGAATACTTTGAAGCTGTCTTTTTCTCACTGAGGATTATCAGCAACTCGGATTTCGAGAATCACTAGGGATATGCGAAACCACGGATTCCCATTGGGTAGTCGAATATCATAATTCTGTGTTGACCGGCTCTTCTCAGTTTAGTAGCCCAAGCAACCAACGAGGTTTTTTTATTTGAACAGAGCACTTCCAGTTGGTAGCATTAGGAAGAAATTGTGAATTTACTGAGAATTTCATCAAATCCATGAAGAAAATCCGAAAAACCCTAATGACTGTTTGAATATTGTTGTCCAGCCAATCTGCTTCAGATTCCATAAATACAAACTTGTTGGAATTTCCCAGCGTAATCGCGTGGAACATGTGCCTCATTTCATGCGCTTTGCGTTCCATCCGACCAAAATCCATACAGAATTTTGCCCCATGAATATGGTACATCGTTTAAACAGAAGAATGTTTGTTCGTTGAGTTGACTGTCAAAAACGTTTTCCAGTTGTGGTATTATTTCGTGAAAATGGCACCGTCTGGGGACCACTTGGGATACTTGAATGATCCCCACCCCCACCCCCCCAAAAAATAGTAATCATTCAGAACAGTCAAGTACTGGATATTTTATTCGGTAGATCGATTTTGAGCATTAGCTGTTCCGGTAGAAAAGATGTAAACATAATAGTTGAAATTATAATCGCTTAGTGCAACAACTCGTAGCCCGACGCTGTCTAAACTCTATCTCCATTAAGAATGTTGTTTGGGAAGGAACTCTGAATGTTTCTAGTGCAAGTATTTCTTGAGTTTACGGCAGGTTCTAGTCCATTCTTATTCTGTGGAACCTTTTTCAACTCGTAGCCCGACGCTGTCTAAACTCTATCTCCATTAAGAATGTTGTTTGGGAAGGAACTCTGAATGTTTCTAGTGCAAGTATTTCTTGAGTTTACGGCAGGTTCTAGTCCATTCTTATTCTGTGGAACATTATAGTAGGTACCGTTTTGCGATATGATTGATTCCTGGACATTACATGAGTGCTTCAGTTTGGATCCTTCATAATGAACGCGAGTAGTACAATTTCTATCGTCAGTATTTTGACCCCGCTGGAAAGTCTTCGTTGGTAGTTCCGTACGCATCTTGGTCCCATGTTTACTTGTGATTTGTAAATTCGTGAACGCTTCTGCCGTTGGCAATATAAAGGTCGGTTGGCTGAAAGAGGTGCTTCCTGAATGGGGCTCTCCATTCGGTAGGGAACTGACCAATGGTTCTTCGTCTTCCAGAATTTTTTCCAGGTATACACCAAGTGTATCAAAGTTTGGCCTTTTTTCAGTTTTCGCGGACCAGCAATTTAACATAAGACAATGCATTTCCTTGGGACATGCTTCCGGACAGGGTAAACGATAGCCACGTTCCAACATGGAAATCACTGTTTGATTGGTCCAATCCCAGTATGGGCGTTGACCGTAACTGAATACCTCCCAGCTCACTATACCAAAGGACCAAACGTCACTTGCTATCGTAAATCTCCGATAAATAACCGCTTCGGGAGCTGTCCATCGGATAGGTACTTTCCCGCCCTACAGAAGAAAACGATACATTAGGAAGGTCTTTAGAACACAGTAAATGTCATAAGAGCAAAACGGCTCGTGCCACTCAAATAAAAGATGCTGCTATATGGTAGAAATCACAAATGGGATTTGATGAATCAATTCGGGAAAACCAAACTCACAGTGAGTGTATATGCGTCGTCAACCAGTTTCTCTCCAATTTTTCTTGCCAATCCAAAATCGGAGATTTTGCATGTCCGCTTTTCATCGATCAAGATGTTCCTCGCGGCCAAGTCCTGAAATTGAGAATTTTCCGCTTTCTGTAAAATATCATTACTAACGTGGTTTAGCAGGTTTATCGTATCAGCATTTACTTGGTGAGCTAGCAATGAAGGCTTCCAATGCTGTTTTGTTGAATACGTGAAAGTCAGTCGATGGTACTTTTAATATGCACACACACGGTTCGAACAGGCTTCTACTACTCGGGAGAGAAGTAGTTATTTACAAACATATCCTAAGAGCCACAGTAAATGATGGATTCACACTGTCCAGCCACAAACGCTGAGGGTTACCGTAAACATTAAAAATCGTGATTCGAAATTGTGCGCATAACACACTGAGAGCAAACGTGAGAGTACATTACCAGCCATGTTTCACAATTTTGTCAGCAGACGACAATGTTTGTAACTCGAATGATTTTAGGTCTCACCAAGGAAGGGTGAGAAATAGTTGTGCTGCAGCTGACAAAATCGGCTGAAAAAACGGAAAACACGTCAGTCGTTTAGCAGCGGAACTACAACACAACTGCCAATGAGTTACAACCGCGTAGCTGCATAAAGGACTAGTTAACCGCGTCTGCGTTGGTCACGCAAAATATCTTCCTCATTCTAACACGTTTTGCATCCACAGTAAACATTTGCAACAAAACATGCAACCTTCCTGCCATTTTCGCTACAAAGCACTGTTAATCATAAAGGAATCTTCTTACAATCTTCCATAGCCCGCGACTGGTTTTGTCCATCTTGGGGTTCATCAGGTAGGTGCAGTCCCCGGGTTTCCGTCATCCTTACGTTCTACTTGAACCTGATTTGTAGGTGCAGCCCCGGGTTTCCGTCATCCTTACGTTCTACTTGAACCTGATTTGAATATATTTCGATACATACACTGACTTGCATATCAAATGGCTCCAGCTGAAACACAAGGCGGCCTTTGTACGGCTCGAAAAGTCGTCTTCCCCACTGACATAAATACCTCACCATTAGGTACTAGCTATTAACTGTCATACACATTAGATTGATGCCAACCGGGGAATGTTATTCGAATACTTGTGTGCCTGTTTCGGTTTCAGAGTTTGCATCGATTAAATTAGCACAAAGAATGGTGTTTAATTCTCTGTAATTTTGCTTAGCTTAAATCAATAATACACTGCAGAAATATATTACCTGTTTCCAATGCAACCAACTATTCTTATCCTATTGGGACTCGAAAGTTGTTGAAAACTGTTATATATTCCAAGAATACGCCCAACCATCTGACATGCTCTTGTACAAGAGTTAACTCAGTCGCTGTCTATACCAGTCTTGTGTACGGTACAGGTCTTTTCATGTACATATACATACACATACAAAAACTTACCACAACAGGTCCCAGCCTAAATGTTCATTTCGTGGCTCAAGCCTCGTGTGAAGTGTATAACCTACTGTACTGGTCAACCACACTCTAAAAAGGGGAAGTTCCGGTTAAATATGTTGATTTTTGAGTCGCTTGCTTGCTATGAATTTGGACTGATTCTGGATTACTTTCGCTTAGTAGGCTTGCCCCACACGTTACCTCCGGCCTATTCACGACACACTAGGTGGCCGGAACCGATTCCAGTTAAATGAACCATCATCAAACGGACATTTGCAGTTACACCTTAAAGCTGCAGATACAACAAGCCATTTCCTTTTTATTTATTAGGGCGAACTGTCACTTAACGTCTCACCAGTGAATTAATTCATATATTTAAAGTGTGTAATGCATTAAGAGGGGTTTTGGGTGTGAACGGGTGGTGACCGACCAAGAAACGACTGGTTGTGATTTCTGAGTTTTCGAATAGAAAATAGCCATCAAATGCTTGGTTATTCTTTGTCCACTGAAGTTTATCGGCAAACATTTTCGAAGAGAACGTTTGATTAACTCCGATACTAGACGTGTGTGTGTGTTGGTGAAAGGCGTTTGTAAAATCAGATGCGCAGATTCGGCGTAACTACAAATCTAGGGTCAGGACATTACTTTCAAACGTACAAGCACTTCCTGATTAGCACAGGTGGATTGCAAAGATTAGGGCTCTCCAGGAACGCCAAAATATGTACGACAGGGCAACGTCATGTTCAAGACTATTCACCAACTAGTTTGCCAAACATGTTACCTTTATTAGTATCTTGTAAGCCTGGCCCGAAAACCTCCCATATTCGGCTGGACAAAACCAAATTTTTGGTATCCGTCGATAAATGAAGGTGACCTAGAAAACAACTGCTTGCCTAACCTACCGTAGTGTTCCTGGTTATTTTGTTTTTGTGACATTATACTTTAATATCTCTTCAAGACCAAATTTAGCTTACTTGCAGGCTGCAATAAAAGATAAATGCTAGCAGACCAAATCTGAGTTCTCATTCAGATTTCCACAGTAAATCACTAGAAACACCAGTTTGGGCAATCCCAAAGAAACCACAATCAGCTGTTTTGGACGGATCAAACAGTACGCAAACAATGTGTGCACCTCACTCCTAAACCGATGCATATTCAATCTATGAAAAGCGGATGTAACCAGACAGCTCATAAAACCGGAAACTCTCCTACAGGCAGGGGGCTGTTGAACTGGTAAATCTTAGGCAATCCCAACAAGTTGAAGTCACAGAAACGGGAAATTTCCAATCAATAAGTTGGCATACTCTTCAGGACAATACATTTTCATCCACTAACTCAGACCTAATCCAGAGCCATGAATTCTGAACAATACAACTATTCCATGTCTCGGTCTTACTTGCGCACTTTTGAAAGGCTGACCATTTCATTTCACATTAAGTTGAAGTTTTTTCACTCCTTAACTTGTAAACAAACAATCATGAAATGTGTGGAAGTTCGGATTCATTAAAATAATCTCAGAATACCCGAAACCTACTGAAAACCTCACACTCCGCCAAAGTTGGAGGAAGGCATCCGTCAAGCATCCAAGTCACAAAAGCCTGTTGCCAAGTGAACTCTAAGTTGGACTCCCAGTTCAGCAACGTCCAAAATCCGTAAAGATTAAAACATCCTTTGTTTATTGGCAGATCAAACCTCATGTTTCCACAATTGGCACAATTTATAGTTTCAGTATATTATTACACGCATCTGATAGCTACAAGTGCTTAATGATTGTTTAGTTGTTCCTTTTACACGTTGAAAATCTGTTTATTCAACCTGGGACTTAGTATATTCTGAGGCATACCAAGTTGAGTGTGCGGACATGTAGAAGTTTACCGCCGACTAGCGGGGTAATATGGTTCCTAATCAAACTTTCGTGATTCACACGGGTTTTTGGCCAAAGCCTCAGATAAAATCCCCAGAACCTTTCTTGCTGAGACGGTATTACGAGGAATTATCATTTGACTTCGTTGGACTAGTTTTTCTCCTTTCCACTAGTGGTTTTGATGAACATTCCTGTTAGATCTGACGGCCGGAGTGATGTGTGGTTTTATCGCCCCGCTGTGTTTGGCTAAAGTCACACAAATCAAGAAAAGGATCAGCGTGTTTGAGAATAGTCACAAGACCTTAACAGAGACGGTGTCATTCCAGCTGCCATATTTTCCCAGTCTTTCGAATAGCTGCTGGTGAAAATGCCTACCGGTAGTCAGACGGAAAAACCAAACAACTCTGGGTTCGCGGAAAACAGTGTTTAACCGCTCAAAAACTCAATAATCCCTTGGTTTGTAAGTTTACTCCAAAACCGCGTGACAATTTACGCCCATCAATCTTGTTCCTGCAAAATGTACTACCGATTTAAATGTACTCACCCGGTGAACATAGCCAAGTCCCGAGAGATATTTCATTCCTTCACAGACATCTATAAGCATGCGCAGTAAACCACAGCATTTGACTGATTTTCCAACTCCCTGAAAGAAGTTACAAGAAAGTAAATCCAAAGCCTCAAAGATGAAAATTTTTATACATGGAAGCCCCATTTTTAAATTGGACGTAGACGGTACCAGCATCAGACGTCTCAAACACTACTTTCTTATGAACACCACGAAGATATCCCGGGAAAGAGGTAAAAATGTTTACGTGGCTCTGAACGTTGAAGGTATAAAATAAATAGCTCAACAGTTTGGGGAATGTATAAATGATCGTCAAAATAACCTCAATTGATTGCAAACCATTCACAAACCAAACCATTTTTGTAACTTCTAAAAGTACCAAAAACCATTTGGGTTATTCCAGGATAGTAAGGCTTCAGGCCAAATGCGTTTCAACTGACTGCAACTTAGAGTTTTGGCTTAAACAAACAGGGAAGGTTCAAGTGGCCCGAGAATGTTTCTATCAAGTTAGTCTGCTCTTGTATTAATAGGGTAACGTTTGTCATAGACTTTTGAAGCCCAAAACCACAATGTTTCCTCTATTTTATTCCCGAACGAGAAACATGAAAAGGCTTCAGAAGAATGTCCCCTTGTAATTTGAAATCGCATCACATTTATTACCCACGTGATCTTGTACATCGGGCAGTCCACAAGCTGTGATGCGATGCTGGTACTCTACAGAAGAATAAGTAATTTTGGGATGATTAAATCCCCGGGTCTTAAATTAACAGAACATAAAAGATTATTCGATCGCACCGATTGCCGCATCACCCTAAGTGCCTAGAAGTGCTTTTATTTTAACATGTTCGCGTAGATCAGCGCTTTGCTTGGATATGTTTCATCACGAACTGACAGAACGTAATCAATGAGCAGCCTTCATTTATTTTCTTTTAATAATTCCAAACATCACTCGAAACATGGACGCATTGCCCCAGTTGACTTTAAAGACGATACGTACGGAAGCGGGTTAACAGGAAGTACCACGCAAATGCGCACTAGCGAACCATAATCGATTAATGGCGGACGATTCGCAAGGTAATTTTCCTGATCATTGAGTATATCAGAGGTGATCTGATCAACAACTGTACATTCATCCGAGTGACTAATTTTTGATGCACTCACACTATTATCGCACTAACCATGGTTCTATCCATATATATTTCCTTTCTTGCGCAATTGTTTGGAAATCAAAAATGCGAACACGCTGCTGGTCACTAATAGGTTTTCAGTTATCTACTCTTTGAGTTTATCATGTTATTTGAGGTGATACATGGCTCCACACTTGACGCGGTCGCAAGTGGACGCAAGCGCAGGCTAAGATCACCGGAAATGTAAATGGCTTAAAGTCCTTCGAGGGTAAGTCAAGGAGTCATAGTTTTTAAGCCGGTACAGAGCTCACGCACGTAAAAGCAACTGTAGCGAAGTTAAACGGAAGTGGGCCGTTGAGCGTCATAGTCACATGTCGGACGCGGAACCCACATCCATTATGCACTGAATAGTTTTCAATATAGGCAGTTACATGAAAGCATGCTGAAGTCCACTTCATTGCGTTACAACTAGAATCTTAAAACTTGTTGCCCAAGTTCGTTTTTATGGATCAAGCGCCATTTCGTTTGATCGATAACATCACAAATGGAACTTGCAGAAGTTGCAGTGCTGTGTAGACGCTCAAGGTTGCATTTTAACAACCAACTGCACTAAATTGTACAGTTTTATTACACAGCTATCTGAATGGGTTGTTTACCGGAGGCTTTAATGCAACTCATCCGCAAAATGTGATGTGAATTTGTGCTATGAAGTTAGAATTGCAAAATAGTGTGTACCTGAATGTTCCTGGATTATTCTGATCAGTTATTCCAATTACCCAGATCGAAATCACATGTGCCATGGTTATATGTGAATTCGATCATACCAGTATGGGGTGCAAAAGAATTTTCTCTAACCCCAGAGTGGAAGTATCATAAAAACGGCCTTCCTAGCAAAATACCTCCAATTTCCTGAAAGCTTTCTTCAGCTTACGACATATGCACGCGTTATCCAAAATTTAGAAATGCATTCATTAACTGCCGTGAACGAAGGCAAAAATCTCAACGTTTTCTAAATGAAAAGCTTGGTGATTAATAAATATGCGACCGTTTGCTGTTTTGGTGGTCTGAAATTTGGTACCCCAAAAGTATGAACGAGCAAGATGCACACACACTAGCCAAGTTTGGGTCTGATTGTGTCTCACTCACTTGCAAGTATTTGTCCAATGACCCATGATGCATGAATTCAGTGACAATCATCCGGGGTTCTTTTCGCGTCACGACTCCAACCAACTTGATAATATTTGGATGCGATAGTTGTTGCATTGTATCAGCTTCTTTTAAAAAGTCCTGCTGCGTTTTTTCAGGGACATCCGGGTGGAGCATTTTAACTGCGACTAAAGTGTATTCGGCAAACGCCCCAGCACAAACTTTCCCAAATTCACCTGTGGGAGTCACGTGGAACACATGATGTCAAATCACTTGGGGTTCGCGTAGCAAGAGGGATTTAATATCTGGCGTGTCAATGCAAAAACTCAATACCCAGCGACCATGCTTGCAACGCTGGATGATGGAATAAGGTACAAACCTTGAGTTACTTCCTTCAGTCAGCTTAAGGGATAATGTACACCGCTAGCCAAAGATAATGAAATGTTGCCCTGGCGCTTTCTAGAGCCGAAATACAAATTGTATACGTATACACTAGGAACTGAATCGCTTACTTGCCGCACGTTTACATAGGCTCTGCTCCAAGCCTTCTGCTGCACTAACACGCCAAACCTCGCTGGATTTTATATTAACATCTGTACGTGTATCAAAACAAATACTTTAAAAAAAGTACTTGTTTTGGTTCAGAGGTTTACTTGAAAGTTCACGGAGTGCACACTTCCACTCGGACTACTGGAAACTTCCTTCTCAGGTGAAGCATTTTAGTATTCCCTTGACTAAACCAATCCGGTCTTGGACAAAATACAGCAATTTTGTGTCCGTGTCGAAATATAGGCAGCTCGGATATGTCTACTGTTGGTTGATCAGATGGTAGTTGATCTGTTCCAATTACCAAGCTCGGCGAACAGATCAACTACCACCCGATCAGCCACCAATAGCATTGTGGTCTTTCGTGAGTTGAAACCATCTGCTTTTGTTCTCGGAGCATAAATAAACTGGAAACTAAAGTCGACCCCAATAGGAATAATGGACGCAAACACTCTCTTGCTTAAAATGTGTTTCATCGTCATTCGTTTATTTTAACCAGAATAATATTTCTTGCATTTCCATGTGATTATTTTCCAGTATAAGGAATTTTCATACACTGATTTTTTCACATTCTAAATTACCTTGACGTTCACTGAAACGGGTTTTTTTCTTTTTTTCAGATCATCTCGTGAGAGCCATAAGATGATCAACTGATTCACTGGTTATAATACAGTGGAAGAGTCCCAATGCTTACTTAGCTTCTCTGGTAGAAGCACCTACCAAGACTTTATTGCCAGGCTACAGGGTTTTCAGCAGCAGGGACCATTTTAACTGATACCGTTGAATGTATAAACAACAGCAGATTATTTTTAACTTTTGGGATACGTATATAAGCCTCATTGTTCATCAATTGGGACTAAATTACTGTAGAAACACGGTTCCTGTTGTAACCCCCTCAAAGCTTTGGGGATCACTATTCAGAAAAATTCTGTGGGAATGTTTGAGTATTGTATCAACAAAATTCACGGTAATTTTCTACGCAATCACTTGCTTATAGGTGAATAATATTCCAGAAATTAGTCCGTATATTAGAAGATTTCTCGCATGCAGACAATATTTTACACTAAACCTTAGAAGTCATTTCGTGAAACAAAGACAATTCAAATGTACAAGTCGACGAGTTTGTCTCCGCTTTTAAAATTTTGGTTACGTAGAACGCAATATAATATAATGGTCCGCAAACATTGTGACTTGGCAGGAAGGATATGCTTGTTTTGGGTTGTTCCATGTTTCTGAACAGACGAGAAGTGTACGGACACATACCGCTGGCCTCGTCGTGGAAAATATTGAAAGGAGTTCTAGACCCACATCACAAGATGCAGAACAGGTTAGAGCTCGATCGTTGGCTTGTTCGCTGAGCTGGGCAATGTGGTTGCAAACGTTTCATCACCAATCGAGGTGACATCATCAGTGCGTAGTTGTGCGTAGCGGTGGGTTACGGTGGGCTACGCACAACTACGCACTGGTGATGTCACCTCGATTGGTGATGAAACGTTTGCAACCACATTGCCCAGCTCAGCGAACAAGCCAACGACCATCTATGCTACCTGAGCTACCGACATTCTTCTCTTTAGAAAAGTTTGGAGCTTCTTGTTGACGTTGGTCTTGAAAATCAGAATCGGGAAATATAGCCAGTCCCGGATTGTATTGTGTTTAGAGGTCACAATATATTCGACAGTTATGTAAACCAGCTACAAGTATTTAACGTGGACGTAATTTTCTCAGCCAACTCATTATACTCCCGCACAATATAGAATGAAAGAAATAACGATACCTTCGCCAATTGTGAATCGTATGTTTATCCTTTCGGGATCCAGTTCCTTGTACGTTTTCGCTACTTCCTTGCACGAAGTTTGTTTATCCTCGATAGATACACCTTCCGCCGTCACTTCCTCTACAACAACATCCTTGTTTGCCGTTGCCCTCTCAAAAGATGTAATAACGGGTGGTGTTACTTGAGGATCAATTTCTTCAGTTGCTTCATGTGTTGATTTGTTCAACAAAGAAGAACATTCATCTAATCCCGGCATAATGAAGAAAACACGTTTTGAGCACAACAGTGAGGGGAGAGATTAGCTCGAGCAGAGGACCACAGTCCACTAAAATTTCGACCAGTAAACACAAGAGTAACGACCTTGAAAACTTCTGTTTACTTGCTTAGGAAAATTTAATTCGCAAAATACCCGCGACTATTAATTCGAGTTCAATAGCGCCAAAGTAAGAAATAGATTTTAGTAAACAACATAGATGAATTCATTCCCTAGGTGTTACATGGTTAAAAGTATCCTCAAGTTACTTCGCTGTTCACTTTGAGCATTAAGCAAATCAGTCTTTAGCATCTCCGTGTTAACAGTTTGTTTGGTCCGATAATGTGTGTTACACCTTTGTATACGAGACTAAAAACCTAGTGTGGCGAAAAAATGCCAAGTTCTCTGGACACGAACAAATAACAGCTTCAATTTTGCTTGTGTTCTGAGGACTATACATCTTGATTTTGGCAACATATCTAAATATTGTTAGGATTGCGGCCTGTAAGCCGACTGCCAAGCGCGGCGACCAAACCAACTGCCACCCGATCAAAATCCAACATCTTGATGTATAATCCATTTGGATTTGACTGTGTAAGATAAAGTTGTTCTCACTATTGTGTCTAAATACCGGGTTCCCCGAAATAGGTGATGAGTCATTGGGTGCTGTTCATTCTTTACCTTCAGTGAATACTCAAGGTGACTAGTGAAATGGATGGAAAAGTTTGGAAGTCACACCGAAGGAATGTGGTGCACTGCCACCGACTATAATGACATTTTTGGAATAGCAAATGCCCGGATGCTTACTACTGTGCCTATTTGCTTGTAGAAGCAAAAACCTAGCTTTTCACACTAAAATTTGAAAGTTTGCCAATCGAACTTTTTGTGATTTGGTCAGATTTTCCGGTTGTTTCTTTCCGGATAGGCATGCTAGCGTAACGAATGTGCATTCGATGCCCGAAGTCAATAGAGGATACTCCGTACTCAAACGTTTGCCTTATTTTCCATCCAAAACCCGGTTCCACCTGGTCCGATACAAACTGAGGAATTAGACTGTGTGTCAGAGATCAATCATGTCACCTGTTATGTCACGGTACAATTTAGTCCATTTTTTGTTGTACCAGTAGTATCGACGAAGTAGGTAAATATGGTCTGCATTCATTTAATCTCCAAGGCAAGGAGGGTACCCATAGTTGCTATGACCGTCAGGGTTGAATACAGACCGTCGACTAAATCGCCTATGCAGCTTGCCTCCTGGTAAATGTTGGGTCAAGTTTTTATTACCACCGGACTTCTCCACTCCTTTTTATCAAGCAATGTAGTTATCTGGTAATTTTTTCATCACCAGTACAGTTTTCACTGTTTAATACTTGTAGGTGGGGATGAATACCTGGATCGTAGATCACGATCAATCAGATCACGATTGTTTAAGTACGAGTTATGTCAGTGGAACGTTCACAACACATGACGCTGAGGAAGATGAGGTTTACATCCACAACATTGGCATAATCTGAATATAGCTAACCTCGAAGACGAACAGGCAAATAGATCGCTAAAAAGACCTAATACGTCGACTCACATTCTGGGAAAGACAATTTCAGGTAGCCTAATCTAGTGAATTTGGCATATAGGTGCACCTAGACATCGTATTTCAGATGCAGTCACGTGTCATGACACCACTACCAGCTGCAGCCGACAAGGCCCATTCTACAGGCATATTGGTTCAAATTACGCACCATTTCACATTGTAAACATTTTGTGTGGGAAAGACTGAGGCTCGCAACCGAACTCCCAGTATATCTTGTTCTCACGAAAAACTACTTCTTAGAGCGAGTTTCGTTTGAATGAGCTCATTATCTGGTTGTCATCCAAGTATGAGGGACTAAGTCCTCTATGCAGTCGCAAACTGAAATTGCTTCGCAAAGTCATCTCGAAATATGAACTTATGCGTCCTTCTAAATAACAAGTAGGAAAATAGACGCCATGCATGCTACGGTAACTGAGGAACAGCAACAAAGCCTCAGGTAGGGATGGAATATCAGTTATATACTTGTTGCGCTCCAGGTGCGTTCAAAACACCCGGCCAGGATAAAACCTGTTTTCTAAAACTACATTGAAATTCATTCGGCTTGAAATCCGACCTAATCTACGTCATTATAGATGGTTGCGTGACACAGATTAAAAACCCGCAAAGTCACTTGTCGTTTCAACGTTTCCGGCGGTGATGTTTGTTCATCCGTATACTTACTTTTGATTTCGTGAACAGGGCGAGCAGATCGAAACGTCTGGGGCGCTGACAATCGCACTATTACGACCTACTGATGCCCCTTATTCAGCAATACAACGAGCGACCACACCCATAGGTGGTCCATTGATGTTGTGCCGTGGACAACATCTCACTTCAGATAAACAGAACCTTGAAAGAATGGTCAGTAAAATGACTAATTGCAAGAGCTTCGCTTCCACTTGCCACGGACTACGAACAACGGGCAAAATAATTTGATATAGCAACTCAATAGTTCGACTGCACACAACATTATGTTTCAAATACAAAAACGTACTCATACTACGTTGCGAAAATATATAGTTTCGCTTTCGTGGAATAGTGCGTATGTGGCCGTGGGAAGTCCAATTTGTACCAGTTTCAGTGGATGTGTTTACTTCCCATATTGGGACGAAAGTGGATTCATTCAACCCTGATTCATGAAGTTTCTGATTAGTATGGTTGACGCCCTTTTTCCGGGAAATGTGGTTGAAACTCACAGAGCAGTAAGCTACTTATCAAAGCCTATAAGGTGGGCGTTGAGGGGTCGGTCTCATTGCCTTTTTTCGTGAATCGGTAAGCAATTGGTATTTACATCTTTTTTATTAAAGGATGTAAAACCTGACCTATGGGTGCCCGATTACTTGCCTTGGCATGATCAAGACCTTTAGCAAGACAAGACAAATGTAAATCGTATGTTCTTCCAAGAACAGTCATGATCACTGTTACTTCATCATTATCTTCACGGAAAATAGCAACCTCGATATTGATCCTGACAATGCGCTGCAATATTATCACTGCAGGACGAATACGTACATACGTGATAACTATTCTGAAAGTAAAAATCATCGTTAACAAACATAAATGGCCCCGGCTAGATCACTTCTCCAATACTTTTCATGTTGCACTGCAGTTCTAAGAAGCTGAGTTTGGTAGCCTAATCGATACCATGAAATGCTGGATGTGATCAACTACTAGATAACATGATGTCTAAATAACTCAAGAGGAATCTCTAGGAGGCTGCTCAAATTGGGATAGTTATGGCCCTATTCAAAAAGTCAGGGGTCACTATATAGAATAACGTTGATGACTCTCTACAGTGGAACTGAACTCAAAAAGTTTCAATAACTATTCCGATTTTGTGAACAAACATATATAGAATACGTTGATGATTCTCTACAGTGGAACTGGACTCAGAAAGTTTCAATAACTATTCCGATTTTGTGAACAAACATAGGCAGCGTAATGGGAAAAGATAAGGTAAATTTCAGTGATTATTTGAACACAAAACCGAGCAAACTGGCTCATCAACGAGGCATTTTAGGACTTGGCATGCTGAATCTGCCAGAATTCCACGCCCAAAAATTCGACACTTTGAGGATGTGAAGTTTCAAAGACCCTAACCTGACTGCGTTTACCCTCTCAAACAGTTTATGATTTCCTTAAACTCTCTGATCCACCTGAATTTCATAAGTGTCTTCCTCGGAAGCTCATGTGATTACTACGGGATACAAATTTCGTGTTCTTTTTCTCATTTCGGTGTAATCATAGACTCCAAAAGACATGGCGTTGTCCAATAAAAAGTAAGTTCTGACAAACACTAAGCTGTCACATAAACATAAAACCGTTTGCTCCTAAAGTTAGCCAGGATGTACTTCAGCCGGTACGTCCGTGGTATACGTTCATACCTACCTTCCATTTGTAACTCGGCAACAATTCTTTCGCGATCCACGCAATGTGATTCAATCTTTTCTGCCTTTTCTTCATTATGGGATTCGGTTGTTGGCGGTTGGCTTGAAAAGCAGATGAAATAGGTTAGAATGTCCATGGCTTCAAAACAACGTCATGAGTGTACTCTAGGTTGCTTTTGATGCAATAACTCTATCAGAAGTTATGTGCAACATTCAAACGTCGGACAGATTTGCTATTTAAAGTGACACCTTTCGCATCTCATACCACTCCTCTAAAACTAATGGGAGACTCGATAACACGCGATGGATGATAACATTTCCTCAGTCAAAATAATGGGACATACTTTTGTTATGACTGGTTGGGGATAGGAAAACTGTACGCTTGCATCAACCTCTTGTAAACAGTTATCCTGCTTTGGTTGTTGGTCTGTTCGCCGAGCTTGGCAGTTGGATTGCAAACGTTTCATTACCAATCGAGGTGACATCGTCAGTGCAGGGTTGAGTGGGTGAATTCCTCCTATTCTGCCTGTGATTATATAGCTTCTTAACAGTATCTGGTAGTTGCCCAGCTCAGCGAACAAGCCAACGACCATCTACGCTACCTGAGCTACCGACATTCTCCTCCATAGAAATTGGCCTTCTGTTTTTCGTGATTGTCTTCCTTTGACCCAATTAGTCCGTTGGTTGCTGTTAGGTTTCTTAGCTCCGAGTCCCGTGACCGTGTGGTTCTTTCGCTCGTAACCGCTGATAGACTGGGTCAATGTCGATGTGTTTATTGATCGATTTTTGTGTGCAGTACCACGCCTCGGCAAATTCTCGCCCCCGTTTTGTTCTTGCGTGAGCGAGTATTTGAACATTGCCCCAATTGAACGTGTGTCCTTCTCTGTCTTCGTGGACTGAGACGAGTGACATTGGGTCATGTCTTCTACTGGCAAGCTTGTGTTCGTGAATTCTCGTAGCAAGTTTTCTTCCCGTTTGGCCAACATAATGTTTGTCGCAGTCGTTGCATTCAAGTTTGTAGACCACGTTAGTCTTATTCAAAGCATCCAAACTTCCCTTTGGTTTCGAGAGGGTGTTGCGTCACTCTGGTGGGTCTATATCCAAGACGGAAAGCATTGGACTTGAGTTTCGCTCTTATTAGAGCTCGTCAGCATTGCCAGGGTTTGGACTTCGCACGCCTGACATGCAAGACGAGCGCGTTACCACCGCTCCACCAAACAAGAAGGAGGTGGGTGTTAGGCTCGTCAAATCGAACGACGACTCAGTCCAACATGCTCTGGTGGATTGGTGGTAATACGTTAACTTAACAACTCAAATGTACGGGCTCCAACGTAAGCGCGCGTCCCACGGGTCCCGTATCCACTCACAAATAAACAAAAGTGCTCAGCAGGTTTCAAGCGGCCGTCGCGTACATGAATGGGAAGTCCTGAGAGGTTCACCAGTCGATCGACACAGCCAAGGTAGGCAACCGGGCTTCCACTCACATCACTCAAGTGCAAAAACGTTCATCTGTTCAGACGTGAAAGTGCAGATTCGTCCAGCGTGGGCTGGTGGGGCAGGGGCGTGCTTCGCACCGATAATTTAGTTTGGATGATGATCAACACGCGGGATGCGTAGTAGACGTAGACGTAGTAGCGTTTTCGAGAAATACACTCATTTGCAAAACAATTTGGTTTTCACGAGAGACTCAACTCTCGTTTATGATATTCTAAAACTGAATGTTCTGCACACAGGCCGTCTTATGATTCAGTTGGCACGATATTCGAGATATTGCCGTATGTTTACATAAAGGAAACTAATCACAAGCTTGCTGAAAACTCTTCGACAGCCCACGACTGGTTTCGCCCTTCTTGGAGCTCATTAGGTAGGCGCAGTCCCCGAGTTTCCGTTAACCTTATGATCTACTTGACTGCGCCTATTTGATGAGCCCCAAGAAGGGCGAAACCGGTCGAGGGCTGTCGAAGAGTTTTCAGTAACCTTGTGATTAGTTTCATTTATGAAAACATACTGTGGTAGCAATGTGTTGGAATATTGGTAGCTCGGGTGTATTGGTTGGTAATTGATCAGGTGGCTGTTGATCTGTTCGCCGAGCATGGCAATTGATTTGCAAACGTTTCGTCACCAATCGAGGAGACATCTTCAGCGCACTGAAGATTTTGCCAAGCTCGGAGAACAGATCAACAGCCACCTGATCAATTACCATACTGTGGTAGCGTTTTCTCACTAAATGCTTTACCGGTTCCAATGTAGCCAAACTGATTGAACTTTTAACTGCTAAGAGAGCTAGATGGATTGTCATCCAGCACTCCGTGCATTTCACACAACTTATGAAGCCTTGACTCGGCGTTATCCAAGTCATTGTTCTGCAATTATAACAAATACTTCAAAGTTTCAGCTGTTGAACACTACTTGTAAAGTAAATGGGTAGGCTTGATAGATAGACATAAACCATGTCGCAACTAACAGTTCAGTGGATAATGCCTAGCTAACGTATGTTTCATTTGGAGAATTCGACGACCGCTATGAACATTATGTGAAAAGTCTGAGAAAATAGTTACTAATCACATAAACTGAAAGGTAAACACTTAGGCAATTTGTTGGCGATTCCGCCAAAAGGTCGCTTCGGAGAAGCCGTTGGTGTCACCCGACGCATACTATTAAATAATGTTAAATTGTATTCATAAATTTACGAACTTGACTTCTATCGAAAATTGAGAGGTGAACCCTGTTGGTGGCTTTTCGCGTTCAGCACTTCACATATTTTCAACCTCCGACTGCTGTTTTACCGAACAAAAGTTATTGCTGGGAACTACATGGTTTACTTGTCACAACCCATCTTGAAATGCGAGCGTGTTCCCTAACCGAAGTTATGCGCACATGCCTGTGTTAGGCGTATCTTTGCACTCATGCCAGAGCTTATCATTTTAAGGTCCACCAATTGACGTTCTTTTTATAAGAAATCTAATCACAAATGGAAACAACACAACAAATCACATCAACTCTCCGATCAATCCATCGCTCGATAAACGAAGCCATGCTAAGTCACAGGAAAAATCAGTCCCGCTGATGAATTCTCTATCTGCCAAACTGATTGGCTCCGTATGGGACAGCTAATCATAGTCTGATCGCTAAGGTTTGGGGTGGATTTTGACTATTTTGATAAGTTATGTATTGTGTGTAACGCAATCACAAACAACTAGTGGATTTTGACAATTTTTTTTATAAGTATTGTGTGTAACGCAATCACAAACAACTATGACACTAGTCTGGGCTTTTCGTATCAATTTACGAACAGTGGCAACTGCATCTCGGTCCACACATTTGTTGTGACATCCTGCTGTTACTTTTCACACCAGGGAAGCATTAAAAAAAATCGCCTTTATTCTCACTTGAAAGAAATTCGACCGGGAAAGCAAGCTGCGCAAAGTTTCGGACTTTCCCGTGTATGTCGTATTCAAACGCAGGATGAAACCTCAAATGAAACATATACTGAGTTTTCGCCACCAAATATTAATTCTTCTAGCATAGTGAAATCCGCTGATAAACGCCTCGTAGAAGGTCACGCCATGAATTGTGAATATTTTCGGAGAACGCATAGATCAGGCCCTTTTTTCCATGGCCACACAAACTGCAGAATAGTACAAAAACTAACGGGTCAGCTCGTAAACCAAACCCAACTGAATTACTCTGGCATGATCTCTGAGGATATATAGCTTGGTTTCACAGTCAACAGGCTTACCGCCATTGATGCCGAGCCGACTTGTGAAATTTGAGAAGCAGTAGAAGTCCCAGCAACAGACAAAGTGCCAATGAACAGATGACTGTCAACCAGATGATCCGCTGTTGTCGACTGCTGGCTGAAACAACAAATTTTGAAAACTCCGTTGGTTCAACGTTGCTGTCGGACATTAGTTTTGATTGAACTGGATGAACGGCTAAAATTAACAGTAATAAATACCGACATGGGTGTTCACAGACGCCTTGTTAGTGGAAAGAGAAAGCGAACAGAAATCAAAGTTTTGCTGTGTGAGCTTAAAGCAATATATTTCAATAAACTACCTGTATATATATGGCTAACTGCTGTCTAGTTCTAATCAGCATGCGCATCCTGATCCAGAAACGGTCTATATAAGAATACTTAATGCTGTGTTGAAAGTTTGATGCATTCGTGCCAATAAGCTCTCTTGTACAGTCTCTTAAGAAAACCAGCTGGCAGCTGTCGTTGATGATTTGTTTCTATGGGTGCAGAAAATGTCGCAAATGTGAAAACAGAGAACCTGTCTTTTTGCCTCATACCGAAAATAATGAACACGGTTTGAAACATTCTGGCACAATATAAAGTCACACCTGATGTTTTGTAACAATCTACTTTGTTTACAGACTATCTGTTTTGACTGCTGTTTGCATAATGCTTATGTTGCATTCGGCGTGGCATTCATAGATCAAATGAGGAAAGAGCGAACACAAACGTAATACGCCTTAAAGCGTAGCCTAGATTTCACTGCCGATATAATTAGAGGAGGCCGTTTCTTATGATGCACTCAAAATGCTAACAAAATACTAGAAGGTTCTAACATTAATGCTGTTCATCATATGATTTTAGGAAAAATTCCCACAACAAACCTATAATTTCAGCCCTACGTTCACAGCGAGTTGTTGACTATGTGATAAGATTTGGAAATTCCAACGGGCATTTCTTTTTTGTCGATAAAGCCAACCTACGTCAAAGGACCGAAAACAGTTTTATAGGTTTTTCGTGTCCACATAAAATAATTAGCGGTCTGAATTTCATGAAATATGGGCTCGTACCTTCCCCCTGGTAGTTCACAGTTAAATCGTTCGGCCTACAATAGCTGATCATCACTGGTTGGATCGCACTTAAACGTGATATATACCCAATCACCCTTCATTCACGTAATTCGTGTCATGTGGTCGCATGTTGACTGGCTCTTCATATGTCCACTTAGTGAATAGATGGTTCAGTGGGATTCGTCACTAGTTTATGGAGATTCCGAAATTTAACTCCGAACGGTTAAATTTTCATCTACGCGATGACGGCTTCGGACCTCATTCGCCGGCTGTGCTCATTTGATGGTTCCCGAAATGGATGAAACAACGATACAGTTCTTCTCAGCTTTTCCACATTGGTTTACCTGACATATGCGACAGAATCTCTATCGAAATTTTGACGCAATCAAGTTTCAGTGCTTTTCGGCTATTGACTGGGACAAAATGTTTGACTAAATTGCATACATTCAAGCACCTAATTGTGTGTGAGATTAAAAATATTGTCGTTACTTCGGTTCTCATAATTTTAAATTTGTTGACGCCACCGTGAACACCATCGCGCTAGCTAAGTCTGTGCAGAAGCTGTCAAGTGATTTGATCCTTTTCGACTTCCCTGGTTTCCAGCCCAACGACATTTCAAGCATTTTTGTCGTTTTCTCTCGTTTTTCATTCGTACCATGCGTTACTTGTAAATTCACCTTATCATCCGCAGCTAGTTGGGAAAATATCTAAGGAAACATCTTGAGTAGCAAGAAATGTCATTCACGTTATATCAGTTACAGCAAACGCCTGTTCGAAACCTTCCATTGTTTTCCTTCAGAGGCCCACATTAGTATGGAAAATGTGCGTGTGCACAGTGATGACTAATCCACTGAATACCGAGTTACGCATCACTTTATTTTTGTAACAAGAAAGTATACATGCTGCGATGATTTTTGGTAAGCCCTTGAGAGCGCGTTTACAGTGATTCTATCAACCTTTACTAGCTCTATCCGGGACCGCTGTGGGCCGTTAATCCGAGATGCAAAATATGTGCAAGAAAGTAACACTTCTTGCGAGTGTTGATTATCGAAATGGGAGAACAACGTATCTACATAACAAATCAAGTCATTTTCAGTTACACAGAAGATAGCTAGCATTTTGATCTGTTCGCCGAGCTTGGCAACTGGCTTGCAAACGTTTCGTCACCATACGAGGAGACATCATCAGTGCGCAGTTGAGTGGGTACTTCTTCCTTGCCTGCGTGCGCTTATATAGCATTCGAGGGCTATCTGTTATCTTCTGACGTGATTGGCCACTTAAAGTGTAACAAATTTGGTGAATCTATTGGTCCATTTGTGATCTTTGTTGCGTTGTGGTCTGCGTTCCTTTGTGTCGATTGGTTATCCTCACGCCTTCTATTTTTAGTAGTTCGTTCTCTCCGGCCTC